AAGTTGAACAGAAGCTTTATTTTCCCCTGTACCTTGTATTTTGTTAACTTGATATCATTTGCATTACTTAAAAAAAAACAGATCTGGGCACTGGTGGCTCACACCTGTAATACTAGCTACTCAAGAGGATACTAGCTACTCTGAGGATGACAGTTCAAAGCCAGCCCAGGAAGGAAAGTCCAAGAGATTTTTTTGGGAGGGTCCGGTCGTGGGGTCTGAATTTTGGTCGTGGGCGCTGTCCCTCAACTCTTCAGTTCAAGGCTAGCGCTCTACCACTTGAGCCACAGCACCACTTCCCGCTTTTTTTTTCTGCTTATGTGGTGCTGAGGAATCGAACCCAGGGCCTCATGCATGCAAGGCAAGCACTCTACCACTGAGCCACCTTTCCAGCCCCCAAGAGATTTTTATCTCCAATTAACCCCCAGAAAATCAGAAGCAGCACTGTGGCTCAAGTGGTAGAATGGTCACTTTGAGCTAAAGAGCTCAGGGACAGTGCCCAGGCCCAGGGTTCAAGCCCCACAACTGACCAAAAAAAAAAAAAAAAAAAAAAGCCAGGCAAAGCTACTGAGAAGTCTGGGATCAGAGAACAACAGTTTGAAGCCAGCCCAGGCAGAAAAGTCCATGAGACTCTTTCTGCCTGAGCTGGCTTTGAACCAGGACTCTTAGATCTCAGCCTCCTGAGTAGCTAGGATTATAGGTGTAAGTCACAGTGCCTTGACTCTCCAGGAGACTCTTATCTCCAATTAACCACCAAATAGCTGGAAGTGGAGCTGTGGCTCAAATGGTAGAGTGTTAGACTTGTCCAAAAGTAGCTCAGGAATGGTTCCTGGGCCCTGATTTCAAGGACAGGGCTGGCACACACAAAAACAAAGGGGAAAGAGAAAGGGGGGGAGGAGAAGGAAGATGATAGGGCAGGGGGAAAGGGAGAGGGAGAGGGAGGGGAAAGGGAGAGGGAGAGGGAGAGGGAGAGGGAGAGGGAGAGGGAGAGGGAGAGGGAGGGGAGAGGGAGAGGGAGAGGGAGAGGGAGAGGGAGAGGGAGAGGGAGAGGGAGAGGGAGGGGAGAGGGAGAGGGAGGGGAGAGGGAGAGGAGATCTAAACTGACATCAAAAGTAAATAAGCAGATGGGACTGGGAAGGTGGCTCAGTGGTAGAGCGCTTGCCTTGCATGCATGAGGCCCTGGGTTCGATTCCTCAGTACCACATAAGCAAAAAGAAAAAAGCCGGAAGTGGCGCTGTGGCTCAAGTGGTAGAGTACTAGCCTTGAGCTGAAGAGCTGAGGGACAGCGCCCAGGCCTAGAGTTCAGGCCCCATGACCAGACCCTAAAATAAAATAAAATAAAAAGTAAATAAGCAGAGCTGGAAGCTGGGAGCTCATGCCTGTAATCCTAGCTACACAGGAGGCTGAAATCTGAGGATCTCAGATAGAAGGCTAGTTTGAAGCCAAGCCTGGGCAGTGAAGTCTGTGAGATTCTCATCTCCAATAAACTATTCAGAAAGAGCTAGAAGTAGGACTATGGCTCAAGTGGTAGAGCACTAGCCTTGAGCAAAAGAAACTCAGGGACAGCACCCAAACTCTTAAGTTCAAGCCCCATGATCAACCAAAAAAAAAAAAAAGTGAATTAAACTGGATGCTGGTGGCTCATGCCTATAATCCTAGCTACTAAGGAGGCTGAGATCTGAGGATCACTGAAGCCAATCTTGGTAGGACTAGCACCAAAAAGAAAAAGAAAACAGAAAAAACAAAGGTAGAGGGCTAGGAGCATAGCTCAAGTAGTACAAAACCTGCCTCATACTGGGTGGATTTCAATCTCCAGTACCAAGAGAAAAAAAGTAAAGAAAAAATGCATGCAAGGCTGGGAAGGTGGCTCAGTGGTAGAGCGCTTGCCTTGCATGCTCAAGGTCCTGGGTTCGATTCCTCAGCACCACATAAGCAAAAAGAAAAAAGCCGGAAGTGGCGCTGTGGCTCAAGTGGTAGAGGGCTAGCCTTGAGCTGAAGAGCTGAGGGACAGCGCCCAGGCCCAGAGTTCAGGCCCCACGACCGGACCCAAAAAAAAAAAAAAATGCATGCAAATATTCTACTAAGAAATAGGAACACAGGACGTGGAAGGTAAAGGTAAGTAGTACACGTGCTTAGCATGCTTGAGGATTCTGTGTTCAATATAAAATGCCACCCCAAATTTTTTTTGAAAATTACTTATGAAAAAAATGAACAAGGCTAGGCCCCAGTGGCTCAAACTTGTAAGAGGAAACTGAAGAGACTAAGGTCTGAGGATCCAGATTCTATTTCAAAGCCAACCCATACAAACAAATCCAAGAGACTCTTATTTGGTAAAGTAGTAGAGCACCAGCCTTGAGCAGAGAAAGCTAATCAAGAGCATGAGACCCTGAATTCAAGCCCCATTATCAGCACAATAAATAAATCCATGAACAGATAAAATTTGTTTCAAAAATAAGTTCAAAATGGGGCTGGGAAGGTGGCTCAGTGGTAGAGCACCTGCCTTGCATGACTGAGGCCCTGGGTTCGATTCCTCAGCACCACATAAGCAAAAAGAAAAAAGTCAGAAGTGGCACTATGGTTCAAGTGGTAGAGCGCTAGCCTTGAGCTGAAGAGCTGAGGGACAGCGCCTAGGCTCAGAGTTCAGGCCCCATGACCGGACCCAGAAAAAACAAACAAACAAAAAAAAAAGTTCAAAATACTGTTTAGGTTTAAAAATAAAATATAGAGCCGGGCCGGTGCTTCACGCCTGTAATCCTAGCTACTCAGGAGGCTGAGATCTGAGATCTGAGGATGGAGGTTCAAAGCCAGCCCAGGCAGGAAAGTCCATGAGACTCTGATCTCCAATAAACCACTCAAAAACTGGAAGTGGACCTGTGGCTCAAGTGGTAGAGCACGAGCCTTGAGCTGAAGAGCACAGGAACAGTGCCCAAGCCTAGAGTTCAAGCTCCACGACCGCCCAAAGAAAAAAAAAAAATTAAAATATGGGCAGGGTGGGTGAAAAAAATAAATATATATATATATATAAATATATAAATATCCATGCATTAGTCAAAGAATAACCATGAAATAAACCAAAATGCAATAGCCACTTCCTGTAATGATGTGTTGATAAGTTTCTATTATATATGAAATTTTCAAGTTTTTTAAGTTCATTTAAAAAGCTAGATAAAACCAGTAATTTACTTCAGGACACTTTGAAAGGTGGACATAAGGAGAATCACAGTTTAAGGCCAGTCTACACAAAAAATTAGCAAGCAGTCAACAATTAACAAGCTGGGTATATTGGTATATGCCAGCCATTCTAGCTACTCAAGAGGTGTAAACAGGAAGACTGAGGTCCAGGCCTGCTTCAGCAAAAATACAAGATCCTACGAAAAAGAAATAAAGCAAAAAGAGCTAGGGGTGTGGCTCAAGTGGTAAGTATAAGGCCCTGAATTTTTTTTTTTTTGGGGGGGGTTTTCATTCGTGGGGCCTGAACTCTGGGCCTGGGAGCTGCCCCTCAGCTCTTCAGCTTAAGGTTAGCACTCTACCACTTGAGCCTCAGCCCCACTTCCAGCTTTTTCTGCTTATGTGGTGCCGAGGAATTGAACCCAGGGCCTCATGCATGCAAGGCAAGCACTCTACCACTGAGCCACCTTCCCAGCTCCTCTTCCTTCTATTTCATATGACCACAAGACTATATCAGAACATAACTCAATAGTTATTTGAAAAGCGGCAGTTAAGAATAAAATAGTTGGGGGCTGGGAAGGTGGCTCAGTGGTAGAGCGCTTGCCTTGCAATGCATGAGGCCCTGGGTTCGATTCCCCAGCACCACATAAGCAAAAAGAAAAAAGCCGGAAGTGGTGCTGTGGCTCAAGTGGTAGAGCGCTAGCCTTGAGCTGAAGAGCTGAGGGACAGCGCCCAGGCCCAGAGTTCAGGCCCCACAACCGGACCCAAAAAAAAAAAAAAAAAAAAGAATAGTTGGGACTAGGAAGGTGGTTCAGTGGTAGAGTGCTTGTCTCGCAAGCATGAGGCCCTGGGTTCGATTCCTCAGTACCACATAAGCAGAAAAAGCTGGAAGTGTTGCTGTGGCTCAAGTGGTACAGTGCCAGCCTTGAGCTGAAGAGCTTAGGGACAGCGCCCAAGCCCAGAGTTCAGGCCCCTTGACCAACCAAAAAAAAAAAAAAAAAGAATAGTTACTTTAATATAAATGTGTAGCCCAAAAGCATCTACCATATTTTTCCCTCATTCTTCAGTCTTCATCTCTAAAAATCATGGACACTTTCCTACATAGTCATAAAGCCACTATGATCTTTATCAACAATATGGGATCTCTTGCAGGGTTTTAAAAATGACTTTCTAGCAGCCAGGCATGGTAGCACATGCTTATGAATCCCAGCTTAGAGGCAGGAGAATCCAGAATTCAATGCCACACCCTAGGATATACAGCCAAAGCCTTTTTTTTTTTTTTTTTTGGTCGGTCATGGGGCCTGACTTCTGGGGCCAGGGCACTGTCTCTCAGCTCTTCAGCTCAAGGCTAGTGCCTACCACTTGAGCCATAGCACCACTTCCAACAGCCAATGCTTTTCAAAAAAAACTTCCTACCTACCATGTACAAGGTCCTGAGTTCAAGCTAAATAAAACAACAACAATTTTTAAACCTAAAGATTGTGAACAATTGGTTTCTTTGAATCTGAATTTAAACAAGGCCAACTTGAATTAGGTTCTAAAACATAAAATGTTCTTACTATATTTACATCACCGATCAACAATTATGACAAGCCTGAGACAAATCAAAAATTGATTTACATGCACAGATTGTCAGAATAAGACGCAAGCTAATGTATCTTCTACCTATAAGGACTCATTCTCCCTTAGTCATCATGGCTGATTCTTCCTACTTGCTGGGATCACCAGTCAACTTTTACCTCTAGAAGATGGCTAGACTTAACCATCTGATCCACAGCAGAACTCCATTTCCATTCATCATCCATAACAGGTCTTATTTTCTCCAGAGCACTTACCACTAACTGAAACTACTCTGTCCAGTATGTTTCCACTGAACAGCACATCCACTCCACAAAGGCAGAAGGCTTTCTACACAGACCAGTGACAGTGCCTAGAACGTGAGACATTCATTAAATACTTAGTGAGTAAGTAATAATGTAGGTCCTGTATTTAAAATGTTAAATTCAGCTAAGGTTTTTTCATTTTGTTTTGTTTTGTTGGCCTTCAAACATTTATAACTTTCTCCTCATCTAATGGTAACTTTTGAGTACCTATAGAAACCTGGGGACAAGTTCCCAAGAATTTGTGGGATGGTTAGGCACTGGTGGCCAAGCCTGTAATCCCTAGCTAATAAGGAGACTGAAATCTGAGGATCACAGTTCAAAGTCAGCCCAGGCAGTTAAGTCTGTGAGACTCTTATCTCCAATTAACCACCAGAAAACCGTAAGTGGTGCTGTGGCTCAAAGTGGTATAGTGCTAGCCTTGAGCAAAAGAGCTGGGAGAGGAAGGAGGACCGGACAGTGCCCAAAGTTCAAGCCCCACGACCATTTAAAAAAAAAAATCTGTGGAATGTAAGAAAGACCAAATATTCAAACACAGAATAATCTCAGTAACAATGACAGATTTCTCCAAGAAAAATAAATTATGCAGGATGATTTAAAGAACATTACCAAGTTGGATGCAGTGGTTCAAGCCCTGTAATCACAACTATTCAAGAAGGCCAAAAGTGAAACCTCAACAAACAAGCTGGGCATGGTGGTTCACCCTGTAATCCCAGCTATGTAGAAGATGTAGAGAGGATAATCTTGGTCCAAAGTTGGCCCAGTGAAAAAGTAGGTGACTTTTTTCAGGAGACCCCTAAAAAAAAACTAAAGTGAAAAGGGCTAAAGATTTGGCTCACATGGTAGAGCTTGACTAGCAAATGCAAGACTCTGACTTCAAACCACAGTCCTCCACTACCACCAAAAAAAAGAACATTACCAGGAGTAATTACAAGTTTAATTTTTAGTACATTTGAGGGTATGAATGTTTGAATTGGGGGGGAGGGGGTGGCATCCTGGGGCTTAAGCTCCGGGACTGGGCACTGTCTCTGAGCTTTTCTTTATTCTCAAGGCTAGTACTCTATCACTTGAGCTATACCTCTACTTCTAGCTTTTTGGTACTTAAGTGGAGATAAGTCTCACAGAATTTCCTGCCCAGGTTGCCTTCAAACCGCAATCCTTTCTGAGTAGCTAGGATTATACACATGGGCCACCAGTGCTCAGCTTTGGAATAATATCTACAATGAGCAGCAGTATTACCTAGAATAAATATGGCTTTATCATAGGTTCATATATATGCATATGAATGTATATTTATGTACATGGTGAAGAAATTTACACCCTTCCTGGAGATTTGATCATGACAAGCACAACATGAATAGCTACTAAAATACCCAAGTCAAAACACAACACATTAAATTTGGGACGTAGAGTAAACCAGAGTAATGGATCCTACATATTCTTTTTTTTTTTTGGGCCCGGTTGTGGGGCCTGAACTCTGGGCCTGGGCACTGTCCCTCAGCTCTTCAGCTCAAGGCTAGCACTCTACCACTTGAGCCACAGCACCACTTCCGGCTTTTTTCTTTTTGCTTATGTGGTGTTGAGGAATCGAACCCAGGGCCTCATGCATGCAAGGCAAGAGCTCTACCACTGAGCTACCTTCCCAGCCCCATCCTACACATTCTTTAACAACAGAGAAAGCTACAAAGCTCTCAGGAGGGAAATTCATAGATCTAGTGTACAGCAAGCAAAGCTGGATCTAAAACCTAGATCACTTGTCTCTAGCTCTAGACTGTGTGTGTGTGTGTGTGTGTGTGTGTGTGTGCGCACGCGCGCACGCACTCTGGCAAGTGGCCCAAGTGCCTTGAGCTGAAGAGCTAAGGGACAGGGCCCAGGCCCAGAGTTCAAGCCCATGACTGATCTTCCCCCCCCCTCAAAAAAAAAAAAAGTCTCATGAACATTCCTGCTTGGGCTGGCTTCAAACAGATCCTCTGAGTCACTAGGATTTACAGGTAGAGCCAATGGCACTGGGTTTCTATACTTTTGTGAGAGATAATGTGGCCCACAGAATGTTAATGTTAAGTTACAGCATACTTAAATTATTATCATTTTTATTACTATCACTTTCCCCCCTATTGAAATCCTAGGCCACTGGTGGGGTGGAGGGAAAGTCAAAGCAGGGGTACATATAATTATTGGTAATTTGTGGACCTACCGAAAACTGGGACAACTGTTACTGAGGATATATGGGATGTAAAAAAGACACACAAAAGGAATAAGACATTCAAGCATAATTCTGTACTTTTGCTGAACAATAAATTGCAGGTTGTTGAAAAAAAATTGTAAGGGCTGGGAAGGTGGCTCAGTGGTAAAGCACTTGCCTTGCATGCATGAGGCCCTGGGTTCGATTCCTCAGCACCACATAAGCAAAAAGAAAAAAAGCCGGAAGTGGCGCTATGGCTCAAGTGGCAGAGCTCTAGCCTTGAGCTGAAGAGCTGAGGGACAGTGCCCAGGCCCAGAGTTCAGGCCCCACGACTGGACCCAAAAAGAAAAAAGAAAAAGAAAAAAAATTGTAACACTGAATTCCCTCCTTAGTCAAATAAAAAGAAACATCTAAACATCTACAAAGCTTTACTCAATGAGGTTTTTATTCCTCAGTTCTTAAAGTAAAAACTACCTAGGAGAATCTGGTGTATTTCTCTTCATTACTTTATACAAGTAAATTGCTAATCTCACCATCTAAGCATCAGCAGAGTTATGTCTCAATTATCTGTAGAATTGAAGTACCAAAGTGAAGCCCACTGAGGTAGAACCTCTGCCAGAATGTATTTTTCACTGAAACAAAACAAAAATTTTTAATGAGGTTATTTTGCTTATACCTTGCTTCAAAAACCAACTCTATGCCACTTGTCAGTGGCTAATGCCTGTAATCCTAGCTACTCAGGAGGCTGAGATCTCAAAGATCACAGTTTGAAGCTAGCAGGGGCAGGAAAGTTGATGACACGCCTATTTCCAATTAACTACCAGAAAACTGGAAGTGGCCCTGTAGCTCACAGTGAATTGAGCACTAGCCTTGAGTGAAAAAACTCCAGATGCACCCAGACCCTGAATTCAAGCCCCACAATTTAAAAACTGAAAGACTCAAAGCCTTGGTGAAATGGTATAGCTCTGCAGTCCCAAGCCTCCCAGGAGACAGAGGTAGGGGGATCACTTGAACTACAGAATTCGCCGCCAGCTGGGTCAACAGATAACTCATATCTAAACAAGAACATCTAAACAAAAAAACAAAAAAAAATGACCAACACACATCAACCAATAGGATAAAGTGACAAGGTATATCACTCCTGTATATCAAGGAAAGGCACTCTAATTTTTGCTACAATATTATTCAGACAAATTCAAGGACTCCCTAACTCTTGAAATACTGGTGAGCCTGCAAGGAGCTGGTGACTCACGCCTGTGATCCTAGCTACTCTGGAGGCTGAGATCTGAGGATCGCGGTTCAAGGCACGTCCTTGACACTCTTAATCTTCAATAAACTACTCAGAAAGCCGGAACTGGCTCTGTGGCTCAAGTGGTAGAGCACTAGCCTTGAGCTAAAGAGCTGAGGGACAGAGCCCAGGCCCAGAGTTTAAGCCTCATGACCGATCTCCCCCCACCCCCTCAAAAAAAAAATACTGGTGAACCACTTAGGTGACAAGCAAATGAGCAGGAGAGCGATAAAAAGTCATTTGCCCAAAGTTAAATGTCCAGAAAAGTTAAAAAAAAAAAAAAAACTCAAAGCTTAAAAGCAATTTAAGCTTCTTTGGAGCCAACTGGGCCTTCTTTCCATTCTCACAAACATCACTAAAGACTATTGTTTAGCACTGAAACATTGTTTCTCTTGTCAGGTATACTTTATTTAAAAAAATAGTAACAGAGTATCAAAATTGTCACTCACATTGAAGTAAACTCAGTACGGAAACATCTCAAAAATCCCACGATAACTTCCACAGGCAAACACACACACACACACACACACACACACACACACACACACACACACACACACACACACACACACACACACACACACACACACACACACACACACACACACACACACACACACACGAAAAGGAAATGAAACCTCGGCTTTTTCCAAATCTACTTTTTTTTTAAGCTGAAGAGGGTCCCTGAACACAAGATCTAAATAAAAGTTTGGATCCAAAGCTGCAAGAAATAGGGTGAAGTCTATGTCAAACTGGCGCACGGTCACAGCCCTACGGGAGCTCTCAATTAACGCTGCGAATAAATCAATCAGGAAAAGCTCCCAACAATACAAAGGGTGACTACCCTCCCCCCCTCCCCTCCCCCCTGCCCCCCCCACTACCAACCACCCACAAATTAAACGAAGGCCCTCTATTTCCTGGTCCTTTGGAAAACGTGAAAAACCGAACGAGCTGTCAAGATCCTTCCTAGAACCGAAGAACCCGACCCTCCCTCTCGATTTCGGCACTATAACCGGACACCTATCCCCCACCCCCCCACCCCACCTCCGCTCTCCAGCAAGGGCCGGTGATAAATTATCGAGGCACAATAATGGGTGCGACCCAGCTTCTCTTTCTCTTAATGACCCGAGGAGACCCCCCCCCCCCGCCCCCCGACCCCGGTGCAGAGCGGACGCGCCTCTGGGTTTCGGCTGTTCGGCGGACTCGGTTTCCTTGATCGCAGGAAGGGAGGGCGATGGCTGCTGCCTCCCCGTGTGCACCGGGCGGGACTTGGCGCCCTCCGGGTGGCGGGTCCCGGGTGACCCGCAACGTTCCACGGTCGGGTTCGCGCTCCCACGCCTCGGCCCGGGTGCCGGGGACTCCGAGAGAGAGGCGGACCGGGGTGTGTGTGTGAAGGGAGGAGGGGTGTGTGTGTCGCGGGGGTGGGGGGGTCCCTTCCCTCTCTCCTTCCCTCCCTCTCCCCCCTCTCTCCTTCCTGCCTTCCCCTCCCTTCCCTGGAGGCTGTGGGTGTGTCGGCGACCCGACGCCCGGGCTCCGACACAATGAGACGGTCCCCGGGACCCCCGCCGTTCCCCCACCCCACCCCACCCCGCCTCGCGGCCGTCCCCCCCCCCGCCCCCGCCCGCGTGCCCGCCCGCGCCGCCCCCCGCCCCACGCGGCCGCGGCCCTTCCTCCCCCCCCCTCCCCGCCCCACCCTCCCCCGGAGCGCGCACGCGCGGCCCGGCGCTCCCCTCCCCCCCCACCACCGGGTTCCCCCCTCACCTCAATCATCAGCCGCCCCCTTTCCCGGGGATCGCTGACCCGGGAAGGAGGACGGGGAGGGAGAGTCGGGGGGCGGGCGGAGCGGACGTGGGAGCCGGCGGCCGGCGCCGCAGAGCCCGGCCTCACAGGCCCTCCAGTCACAGGACCGTCTGTCACCGCCACCGAACTGTACGTGCGGCGGCGCCGGGACACGGCCCCGATGACCCGGCCTGGGCTGCGAAATGCTCGGCTGGATCTCACTGGGCCTCCCCTCTCCGAAACCGGGGACGTCTGTGTGCTGCGCGCCCGGGGCACCTCGACACCATCGCCGCCGCCTCTGCCGCTCTTCTCCGGCCCCTGCCGCCGCCGCCGCCTAGCCAATCCCTCCCCTACGGCGAGCACGACACTTGCGCGTTTACGACGCGCCGGAAAGCGAGGCCGCCATAGCTTTACGCCTCTAGGAACAACTGCTGGTTTCTGCGCTTGCGCAGATCTTGGGGGTCCTGGCCGCTCCGCCTCCTGGTTCCCGGACGCCCCCCCCCCCTCCCCTCCCCGCCCCTCAAGCCCCCCTTTGTACTAGTTTTTCCATTCGGGCGGTGTTACAAAGCTCGTTTATCTCATTTTCTTTGGTGATGATGGGCGTCCTATCTAGGCATAATTCTGACTACATTTTGGTTAATTTTTTTTTTTTCCCTTGGCTAAGAAATTACAACTGCAGAACTACTGCTTATACTTAGGGTGCACTTAGGAACATGATACTGGTGCCACAAATTACATCCCAATGATAGGATTGCGACATTTCACTGTGAGGCTGAATTTGCTTCCGGAATCAGGCGAAAATAGTTACTCTTGAGTGTGATCTTAAATTTTTATTTTTAAAAATTCCGTAGATCACAAACGGTTCCTTATCAAGACTGGGAGAAGGCGCGAGCGGGCACGGGCTTCGGAGTCCCTGAGACCGTCTTTCTTTCAAAAGCCCGCGACGTCGCTGAGCAGCTGCCTGTTTTGTATATCTCCATCTCCTGTTTTGTAAAACATGGTATTGCTGGAAAGGGGCTCTTGTGAGATTAAATGAGGCAGTTTATATAAATCTCCAAACATTAACTTACCAAGCGGGTGTTAGATAAATATCTCTCCTCCTGTGTCATTTTTTTCTTTTTTTGTTAACTTATGATTTTCAAATTATTTAGAAGAAAAAGTATTGTAAGAACCTTGGACCAGGATTTACTTCAACCCTTCTTACTCCCTCACCTGGACTCTACCCCCATGGTTTTAGCTTAAGGCCTCATGACTTCTCAAACCAGTATTTCCATCCCTAAACCTTGTTTGTTTGTTTGTTTGTTTGTTTTTCCTGGAGGTTTTGACCTCCAGGAGGTCAAAGCACCAGCCATGTCTGCCAACTGAATACTCGAAATGTGACTAATACAAACTGAAAGTTGTTTTAGGCAAAACATATACATACACTTCCTAAAATTTTTAAATGTTGATTAGTTGATAAGACCATATTTTGAATGTATTGGCTTATTCGTAGTTCTTGAGATGATTCCCACTCATCCCCATAGGACATTTGACAATATCTACAGTGATTTTGTGTTGTCACGATTCAGGAAGGATAAGACATCAATTGGGTAGAAGCCAAAGGTGCTGTTTAATGCCCTACAGGCACAGAAGAGCCTCCAGAACAAAAGATTTCTCTGGTCCAAAATATTTTTGTTTGTGTGGTTGTTTATATATTAAGGTTATGGGTTTTCCTTGACATGGCCTCATATATTCCAGACAAGTGCTCTATTGAGCTACATCCTCAGCCCTGTTCCAAAATGTTTGAGTTCAGAAATCCTATTTAAATAAAATAAAGTTCATATCACTTTATTTTTTTTAACGTGGTTACTAGAACATGTGAAAGTATATTTTATATCCTACTGGATACAAGCACCTCTTCTACATTGTATCCAAAATAAATAATGTAGACTTCTATAAGACTGTTTTTCTCTAATTTCATATTTTTTTATTTTATTGTAAATATGCGGTACAAAGGGGTTACAGTTACATGTGTAAGGTAATGAGTACATTTCTTGTTGAACATTGTTACCTCCTCCTTTGTTTTTCTCCTACAATCCCTTCCCTCCCCCACAAAATTTCATATATTTTAATTATAGCTTTATTATTGGTAAGTAATTGTACAAAGAGGTTACAATTCACCATGTTAGTTTATGAATACAATGCGTAATTACTGATCTTGAAATCCAGAATTCTAAAGTGTTCACCTCTGCTAAAAATAAGAAAACATCCAAGTTTCTGGTCATTAAGAAGTTAAACCAGGGGGCTGGGAAGGTGACTCAATGGTAGAGTGCTTGCCTTGCATGCATGAGGCCCTGGATTCGATTCCTCAGCACCACATAAACAGAAATGGCCAGAAGTGGCACTGTGGCTCAAGTGGTAGAGCATGAGCCTTGAGCTGAAGAGCTCAGGGACAGCGCGCAGGCCCAGAGTTCAAGCCCCATGACCGAAAAAACAAAACAAAAAATGAAGGAGTTGAGGGCTGGGAAGGTGGCTCAGTGGTAGAGTGCTTGCCTTGCATGCATGAGGCTCTGGGTTCAATTCCTCAGCACCACATAAGCAAAAAAGAAAAAAGCCGGAAATGGCGCTGTGGCTCAAGTGGTAGAGCACTAGCCATGAGCTGAAGAGCTGAGGGACAGCGCCCAGGCCCAGAGTTCAGGCTCCATGACCAAACCCCTCCTCCCCCCCCAAAAAATGAAGGAGTTGAAAGCATGGGTCAGTTGGTAGAGTGGCAGCCAATGAGCAAAGCAAAAGCATCAGGTACTGAGTTTGAGTCCCAGGTTCAGAACAACAACAACAAAAAAACACAACTGGATATTGGGGTTGGAAGGTGGCTCAGTGGTTAAGTGCTTGTCTTGCATCCATGAAGCCCTGGGTTCGATTCCTCAGTACCACATAAACAGAAAAAGGTGGAAATGGTGCTGTGGCTCAAGTGATATAGAGTGCTAGCTTTGAATTTAAGAACTGAGGGACAGCGCCCAGTGCAGAGTTCAAATCCCATGACTGACAAAACAAAAACAAAAACTGGATAACCTCCAAAGTCTCAGCATTCTAACATTTTGTGTTTTTCATGAGATCTCGTTAGATTTATGAGAACCCTGTAAATAGGACAGTCTCAGGTGTCATTGACATACTGGTTAATTTCTTACAAATTCAGAACCGGAAGATGCTTCTATGCATTTGTATGTAATGATTCACAGATCATGCAACGTTTTCCAAAAACCATTAAAAGATTCACTGAACTATCTTAGTGTTCATTTAAATGTATTAAGGGTATCTTGACGGCGATTCTGGGTTACAGCATTACAGAGAAGGTGCTTGGTTTAAAGCCAAAGCACTGATGGTTTACCTGTAATCCTAGCTACTCAGGAGGCTGAAATCTGAGGATTCAGGTTTTAAAGTCAACCTAGGGAAACAAATGATCTCCAATTAACCAGCAAAAAACTGGAGCTGGAGGTATGGCTTCAGTGGTAGAGTGCCAGTCATGAGGGAAGAAAAAAAATGCTAGGTTTAAAGTTTACACAGTACTTTTAAAAGACTGATATATTTGGGGACTATTTGAAAGCAAGGATGTAGAAGATGGTGAAAGAGAATGAAATAAAACTTCCTGGATACTAGAAGGTGACCTAAAAATTTTTTTGAATACTTGATACTTCTGGTAAAACTTTAAATTTTGGTTGTTTCTGTTTGCTTGCTTGCTCATTTATTTTAAGGTCTAGGAATGGAACACAGGGCCTACGCACATTAGGAAAGTGCCCTACCACTAAGGTATACTCTCCAGTCTTATTTTTAATTTTTTTATAGTCACCATTAATATTTCAGAAATCTGGATTAGAGATTTTTTTTAACCAATGTCATTTATTTGAAATTGAAAGTTGATTTTTTTTTTTTTACACAGTGCAAGACTGATTGGTACGCATGATTAAGGTGATTAAGGAGGTAGGGCAGGGATGTCATCATAGTGGGTACAGGCCCCCATGAGTTCAAGCTAGTCACTTACCAGGAGGACTCACCATGTGGGATATATCAGATGCCACAGCGATCAAGGATGAGGTGCTTTTCAGCATCTGCGTCTTCAAACTCATCGGCACTGAATTTGGTAAAAACCCCTCTTCTTTAAGATGTAGATCTTCTGATGGCCAGCCAACATGACCCTGGCTTTGCGTAAGGCCTAGATCATGTGCTCTTTAGGCTGCGGGTTGATGTGGATGGACATGACTACAGGGCCAATGTGAACCCTTGGCATGATGCCCTGGGGCTTCCCCAAGGCACCTGCATACCTGTTTAGAGATTGTCAGTCTCAGCACAGGGCAGCATCTTGTTAATACAAATGATGTGGAGAGGATGGAGCCTCACTGGTCTAAGAAAGCCATCTTTGCCATAACTTTTTGGCACAAAATGGACGGCCTTCAAGGTGTTGTTTGTTATAGGATCGCTGCTCATATTCATCTGACACTATGGGACCACAAAGTGGGAAATCATCCACCTTTACTTGCTTCTGTACCAATCAAATATGAGATCTTGGCCTCAGGGATGCCCCGAGAAGAAGGTAGAGCCAGCGATTCACACAGACACCCCAATCTTCAGTGGCCTGCTGAAGGAAAAGCTTAGTTGGCTTTGAGGCTTGAACTCAGGGCCTGGGCGTTGTCCCTGAGCCCTTTTGTTCTACGCTGGCCCTGTACCTCTTTGATCCACAGCGCCACTACCAGTTTTCTGGTGGTTCATTGGAGAGAAGAGTCTCACAGACTTTCCTGTCCCAGGGCTAGCTTTGACCCATGATCCTCAGATCTCAGCCTCCTGAGTAGCTAGGATTACGGGAGTGAACCACCAGCCTGGCACTTAGTTGACTTTCATCAATTGGTTGTTGTTGATGATGTCCAAACTCTGAAACCTTATTCATTGAAATTGTACAGATAAATTACCACCTTTCCATCCTGAACCCTACTATCCAGTTTAGGATTGAGTTAAACTAGGAAACAGTGCCACCTACTGAAGCAAAATTATTTAAATATCTCAACATTAAATTGATTATTTTTT